CCCTTTGCTGTGCCAATACTTCTCATTGGGGGGTCTTCCTCTTTTTTGCTGACTTTCCACTTTACCAATTACAATGTCGTTCTCCAGGGACTGGACCCTCCTGATAACATGTCCAAAGTATGAGAGACAAAGTCTCGTCATCCTGGCTTCTAAAGGACATTCTGGCTGTACTTCTTCCAACACAGATTTATTTGTTCTTTTGGTGGTCCATAGTACTTTTAATATTCTCCTCCCACACTATAACTCAAATGTATCAATTCTTTTATGGTCTTCTTTATTTATTATCCTATTTGCACATGCATATGAGGCTATTGAAAATTGCCTTGTGTCAGGTACAGCTTAGTCTTAAAACTGATATATTACTCTTGAACATTTTTTAAAAGTCATTTGCAGCAGATTTGCCTAATGCAAAATGATTTCTTGACTGCTGCTTCCATGAGTGTTGACAGTGGATTCAAAATGAAGTTTTTGACTTCAATCCTTTCTCCATTTATCATGATATGATTTATTGGTCGTGTTTTGAGGGTTTTTTTGTTTTCTTGACATTGAGGTGCAATCCATACTGAAGGTTGTGCTCTTTCACTTTCATCAGTAAATATTTTAAATCCTCTTCACTTTCAGTAAGCAAGGTTGCATCATCTGCATATTGCAGGTTTTAACGAGTCTTCTTCTTATTCTGATACCACAGTCTTTGTATAATCCTGCTTTTTTTTTTTTTTACGCCCTCATTTCTTCCATTTGCTTTATCAATCTCTATGCTGGAAAGCGAGTTTCAGAGTCTCTTCTGATATCCATTCTTGGGTTATTTTCTCAGCATACAGACTGAATGAATAAGTATGGAGAGAGAGTACAACCAGGGCACACACCTTTCCTGATTTTCAGTATACCTGTGTTCTTTTGAACATTAGCACAATGAAGTGTTCTGGAATACCTATTCTTTGCAATAGCATCCAAAGTTTGTTATGGTCCACACAATCGAAAGCTTTTGCATAGTCAATAAAGCACAAGTAAGCATCTTTCTGGTAGTCTCTGCTTTCAGCCAAGATCCATGTGATGTCAGCAATGATATCCCTCGTTCCATGTCCTTTTCTGAAGCTGTCTTGAATTTCTGGCAGGTCTCTATTGATGTAGTGTTACAGCCATTTTTAAATTAAAGCAGTTTTATTTCAAGTTGATATTAATGATATTGTTTGAAGATGTCTGCATTCCATTGGCTCACCTCTCTTTGGAATGGACACAAATATGGATCTCTTCCAATCAGTTGGCCAGGTAGCTGTCTTCTAAATTTCTTGCCATAAGTGAGTGTTTCCAGTGCTGCATCAGTTTGCGGAAGAATTTCAATGTGTGCTCCATCAATTCCCAGGGCTTTGGTTTTGACAGTGTCTTCAGTGCATTTTCAATTCTTCCTACTTTAGTATCATCAGTTCTTGATCATATGTTACCTCTTGGAATGTTTTGAATATCGACCATTTATTTTTGGTACATTGAGTCTGTGTGTACCTTCCATCTTCTTTTTTTTTATAATTTCTGCGTTATTCATTATTTTGCCAATGGAATCCTTCAGTACTGCAAAATGAGACTTGAATTTTTCTATAGCTCTTCCAGCTTTAGAAATATGGAGTGTGTTCTTTGTTTTTCGTTCTCTAATTCTAAGTCTTTGCCATTTCATTATAACATTTACTTGGGCTTCTTGAGCTGCCCTTTGAAATTTTCTGTTCATCTCTTTGACATCTTCCTTTCTTCCATTTGCTTTATCAATCTCTACACTGGAAAGTGAGTTTCAGAGTCTCTTCTATATCCATTTTGGTCTTTTCTTTATTTCCTATCTTTAATGACTTTTTGCTTTCGCCGTATGATGTTTTTCATGTCATCCCACAACTCTTCTGGTCTTTGGTCATTTTTGTTGTTAAGTGCCATCAAGTTGGTTCTGACTCATAGCGACTGTATATAGGGTTTCTGAGTAGTGGCTGGTGGATTTGAACCACTGATATTACAATTAGCAGTCCTTGTTTATCCTTATCCTACAGTGCCACATCTCATTTTGTTGTTGTGAAGTACTGTCAAGTCAGTGATGACTCATAATGTGCTATATACGGTTTATGAGGAGCTGCTGGTGGGTTTGAACCACCAACCTTGGGTCCAGTGCTGATCCTACAGTGCCAGACCAGGATTCCCTAGCTGGTCTTCATGCTATGCAATTTTGAGCTCTATCTTTACACCATGAAATATTTCCGTGATCAAGATTTGAAGATTGTCATCTAACGAGACAATAGTATTCTGTCTACAGCTTGTTTCCATATGGTTTGATTTATTCTATTTTAAACTTCTTACAATTTAACTACAAGATTCAAGAATAAATCAAGGGAAAAGAGAAAACAAAAACTTTCTCTAAACCATGAATTTGAACATTCTAACCAATGATGTAACAGTGAAATTATTTGAATGTCCTTTCTATATTTAGAACTTTGACGTATAGACTCCCTTTCTGAAGACTTAGATTGTATAACTGTTGTTGTTAAGTGTCATCAAGTTGGTTCCAACTCATAGCAACCCGGTATAGTGTTGATAGATTAGAACCGCTGGCCTTATAGTTAACAACCCATCTCATTACCCGCTATGCTACTAGGACACCTTAATACATGTAATATTATGTATGAAATATATGTAATGTGATGTATCATATTTTGTATAACACATTGTGTAAAATACATTATATAATATAATGCATATAGAGTTATATATGCGTATCTATCAGAGTCCTGGTGTGGCACAGTGGGTTAATGTGCTAGACTGCAACGTCGGTTTGAACTGCAAGGTTGGTGGTTCAAAATCACCAATGGCTCTGCCACTGAGACTTTTCTGGCCCATAGAAACCATATATGTGTATATAATATACCCATACACACACACGGGGCATTCAAACATCTTGTAGAAAATGGAATTAAAAGACATTGGAGTTTTGCATGAACTTTATGAAGCCCCCTTACATATATATAATCTCTAGGTAGAAAAATACAGCTCATACTGGTTATTTTAGTGGTTGTGGTAGTTGTGTGCCACATAAAGTCAGTTTTGACTCACAGCAACCCTATATAGAGTTTCCAAGGTGTAAGTCTTCACAGGAGCAGAAAGCCTCATTGTCCTTCAGTGGGCACCTAGTGGACTCAGACTGCTGACCTTGCTGCTACCAGCTCAATGTGTGACCACTATACTTCCATGGCCTCTGTAGTAGAGGGATTTAATATAGGGAATGATTCAATATGCGGTAAAAATAATTACTAGAATGATGACATGGAGATTAGAAAGCTGCTTCCACCCCCAGGATTAAAAAGCCCAAAGGAGTAGGAGGTGTTACTCAAAGTCCAGGAGCTTGTCTCAGCAAAAGCTGAAATTAGGAAGAAGCGGTCTGCACTGGGTACAAACCCAAAGTGAGGGAGAGGTGGAAGTAGCCAGGCTTGTCCTCACCTCCAACCCTTGAAGGGGATGGTGTGTCTCATTGGCTTAAACTCACCACAGCAAGATGGCACATCAGCCTGGGATATGTGATTCACAGACATCAACTCTCTACAATACAGAGCGAAAGAGAAGAGGGAATGGGCTGGAAACTGCTTATAGGGATGTTTTTCTGAGTAGAAATAAAGCTGAAAGGTTACATTTTTGGATGGTTAAAATACTTACACAAGACTTAATGGAACTTACATCTGTTTGTCTGCAATAACTAAAACCAAAACATCTAAAGCTACGCTATCAACCAGTTCCAACTCTTAGTGACCATATATAAGAGAGTAGCACTGCCCCATATGGAGTCCAAGGCTATGAATCTTTATGGAAGCAGCCTTCCATAGAGTGACTGCTAGTTTCAAGCTGCCAAACTTTTGGTTATCATCTGAGGCTTGTACTAACTGCCATTTGACCAGAGCTCCTGCTTTAAACCGTAGATGGGTAAACCCTTTCTCCTCATAACATCAGCTCCATAAAGTGTCTATAAGTTTCAGGCTAAGGCCTTAATACATCATAAGAACACTGTCGTTGTATTTGAATGCACTTGGCAGCAGTGATTTGTAAGTGAAATCATCACATATTGAATCAAGAGTGCATCAGTATATTTACTGAAAGTACCTACAAAACATATGGATGTAAAATTTAAGATTTTCCTTTTAGGGAGCTTCAAAATTAATGTTGTGAAGATCACATCACTGTAGGGTAAGCACTGAACTGCTAATTATAATGTTGGAGATTAAAATCCCCCAGTCATTCCTTGGACACCGTATACCGGCTCGCTATGAATCTGTACTGACTCGACAGCACTGAACAACAACAATAACAAAGAGAAAAATGGAAAGGATTTATAATATTTAATATTCAAAAGTAATTTCTCTTGGAGAAAAGTTAATAGTTATATATACAACATGTTATTCATACATCTTTTCAGTGTGGGTTCCTGGTGTGGTGCTACAGAGTCAACATGGAGTTCGGACCTTGGACCACTCTTCAAATCCACCAGCTGCTTCTCGGAAACCCTATATGGATAGGGTCATATAAGTCAGACCCAACTCAACAGCACTTAACAGCTACAACATTCAAATGTTACTAAGCACTTGTCTTACGTACAGTTAAAGTATGAAAATACAAAGCCAGCTTCGTTCCTTAGAGATATTTTTTAGTGTTTTCTGTTTTATACAAAATCCAGGCTTATTTAATGGATCTTTAAGAGTTTTCTGCTAACTGAAAGGTCAGTGGTTCAAACCCGCCAGCAGCTCTGCAGAAGAAATGTAGCTTTCAATGGGTTTGTTTTTCCCTAAGCAATACTTCCAAATTTCCAGTCTCGCTCAACACTTCAGGGCTAGTACAATGAATTGTGGTAGTCGTTTTTTTGAGGAAGAAAGAAAATATATGCATGATGATCATCTGCTTTGCTTCTCATCCTGAACCTGGGTTTGAATTAAGCATTTTAAGAGAGCTCACTTTTTCCATTGACAAATTGAATTTCTTCCTTGCAGACGACTGGAGCAGAACTCAATCAAGGTCATCCCTCCTGGAGCGTTCTCACCATATAAAAAACTCAGAAGAATGTGAGTGAAGAATATTCTGGAATATATGTAATTTGAAAAATTATGCATGTCATGATTATACCCAGAGACCCATCTTAGTAGGACTAGTTAAGAACTTGACAACTTAAGTATGTGATGTGACTTTCTGTTGGTTACTTCTATATTAGTTTTTCGTGATAATAACTAAACTATGTCATTTTTTTAATGTTTTATTATGAATTATGTGAGAGTTTACATGGAAGAACATTAGCTTCACAGTCATCCTATTGTATATCGTTTCATTGCCATGATTACAATCCCCTCCATGTATCATCAACCAAACAAAGGGTATATACCCTACAAGCCTGCCCCTCGTTCATCAGCACACAGTCCCTCTCCCTCTCTGGGTCTAAAGTCCCCAGCTGCTCCATCTCTCCACATCATCATTTCTGCTTCTCTGGGTAGGGTCTCACACTCCTCTTTTCTCCCTTGATGGTCCCAGGGACCTCTGCTCCTAGACTGCATAGTCAATCACTCCCCTCCTTTTGCTACAAAACATTCACCTTTACATTTCCAACCCTCGCAATCAGTCCTGATAACAATTATTCACTATTGTACCAACAAGAGACCTATTCCCATCTCCTTTCATTAGCCCCGCCCAGACAGATTGGTAAACGATGTCATTTTTTAAAGTTCTCTGCTGTTTCTGTTGTTGAGTGTATTTATATGATTCTGGATATATATAGCTGATAGATGATGTACATGATTTATTTTTAAAAATCACAGTTGAAAGTTTTAGTAATAGTCTAGGGAAAAGCATAAGACACTTAATGTTGCAAATGTTATACCTGTTTTGTATCTGCAAAACAAGCACAGGAAAGCAATGGAAAGCTTTCTCTTGCAGTAAATCTTGCTGGTGTTCAGTGTAATTTAACCTAAGCCTATTTCTAATCTTAGCGATCTGAGCAATAATCAGATCTCAGAACTGGCACCAGATGCTTTTGGAGGACTACGCTCACTGAATTCACTGTAAGTATTGACGAATTCACCAGTTCCACACCATGCCACAACAAATGCCTCACTGTACTTTTAAATTGTTGTTTCAGAAAAAAATTACTCCTAAAGGTTTGTTATGAATTATGGATAATGTTGTTAAATGCTGTGGAGTCAGTTCCGACTCATAGCGACCCTGTGTAGGGTTTCTTAGGAGTGACTGGTGAGCTTGAACCACCAGCCTTGGATGTTCAAAATGACTTTGCAGCCCAGCACATTAACCTCGGAAACCCTGTACAGGGTCGCTATGAGTCGGAACCGACTTGACGGCACTTAACAACAACAACAACAACATTAACCTGCAGTGCCACACCAGGACTCCATGAATAAGAGGAACTGCTAATGAATTCCATTGGTTTCATGGAGCGCCTGCCACTAAAATCAAACTTGGTTTTACCTTTAAATTTTTGGTTGTGACTTGGATGAAAGTTTTACACAGCAAATTGGTTTTCTGGTCAACAATTTTATACACATTTTGATTCGTGACGTTGATTGCAATACCAGCAATGAAACAGCACTCTTCCTATTTCCTCCCTGTGTTTGTAGCTGTTTCCTTTCTTCTTTCTTCCCTATCTCTTTCTGCCTTCTGAGCAAATGCAGCCCTTTTGTCTGTTTAGATAGCAACAGGGAGACTCTCTTTTCTTGCAGTTTTTTTGTTTCTTTGTGTTTTAAACAATTTGTTGTTGCTGTTAAGTGTCATCAGTGGCTTCCAACCCATAATTTCCAAGTTTCCAAGGAGCGGCTGGTGAAGCTGAAACAATGACCGTGCTGTTCAAATGACTTTGCAGTCCAGTCCATTAACCCACAGCACCTCACAGGACTCCAGATTTACTGAATAATTTACTTTAAATTGTTAGAAACCATTCAGAAAAGTAGACTGACTTTGCTAAATGTTCACAGCTCTCTTCTATTGAGGGACTGCATTGTCTTTAACAAAATATCATACAGAACACACAGATCTAGTGAATCATTTTATCCTTGGAGATTTCATTACAAACAGTGGTATTTATACGAGTATTCTCAATATGGCAGCAATATAATTTCTGTAATATTTATTAATAATTATAATACTTAAGAATTCCACACATTCAGTATCCTTACCATTTTCTGTGAAATGTTTTCCATTTACCAGTTGTAAGCATCCATTCATATTACCAAAATAAAAAATATCATAGTAGTATATAGCAACTGGACTCCTAGTGTGGCGCTGTAGGATAAGCACTGGACCACAAAGTCAGTTTGAACCACAAGGTCTGGAAGCTTCCCATCATATTAACAAAACAAAAAGTATCATAGTATAATAGCATAGTGGCTCAACATAGATATAGAGCTTTGGGGATACTAAATGACTTGTATTTAATCATATTGTTGTACACACAGTACACATACAATTCTTTTTAACATGGTTTTAAAGAACACAGAATGATATACTGGGGAGAAATAGTGTCACAGTATAAACGACACTTCTCCAAGCTAGTCTGCCATCTTTGATTTTTGAGTAAACCTTTGAAGCAAACAAACCAAATAATAATTTACTAAGAATCATCACGTGATTCTTGTCTGGTTCCACTAGAACTTATATACATCCTTGTACCTTTCTTAATCTTGGACTCAAATAAAACTCCTGAAATATTCCAATTTTCTCTTTTGTGTTGCTCTTGGAAGGCACACCATGTTTGTCTCGGTTCCATCCATGTCTGGCACATGGGAAAATATTGTAATAACTCTTGGTTTCATCTTCATTGGGAACCAAGCACAGTTTTCCTGATCCATAATTAGAACCGAATATCTATTGATGAATTCCTTAACTGAGTAGTATGAGTTGAGCATCCTGAATTCCTGCCATCGTATTCTCAGTTTATTAGTCTTTTGGAGGTTTTCACTTGTATCTCTTAATGCCCTCGATTTTCTTAGTATTCACCTTAAATATATGTTTATTCTTGCTGTACCCCTTTTTAACTCCTTTTTCACCTTAACTTTAACAAGGTTCCTTGATTTAAAAAAAAATATTTGATGCTTAATTGACTTGCATTTGAAAAAGATCTATAATCTATGACAATTTATTTTAACAAAATCTATACAAAGGGAGTCCTGATGCGATTCTGTAAATCCACCAGCTGTTCCTTGGAAATTCTCTACAGTGTTGCTATGACTTGATAGCACTTCACAGCAACAACATACATATGGAATGTCCGCTTACATTGTATTCATTCACTCAAGAATCTTCTATAGGTTTTGTGATGCAGTTCTCTTCTTTGACATCTTAAAAGTGAAATGAATTTTCCTTTCTTACCCATTTTCTTTGTATTGTTTCTTTTCTCCTTTGTGGACTCTACTTGGAGGAAGCAACTCCACCCCAGCTGTCTTAGGAAACCATTTACTACTGTCAAGTATATTAATTACTTAGAATCTTATTTCAAATTTTTTCTTTAAAGATCGTTGCATCCACTAACTGTTTCTTTTTTTTAATGGTTCTGACTTCCAAAAGAATATATGTACAGTGTAGAAAGTATATTTTAAAAAGGAAAAAAATTAAATCACCTGTCATTGATACTTTTCACTTTAATCTCTGTGTGTATGTACATATGTTTCAAAACAAAAATCGAATCATAAAATAAAGTCACTTTGTATTTTTCTGTTTGTTTTTTTTAAATTAATATTATATTATGAACACTTTCATGTCACTAAATAGCCCTCAAGGCAGATTTCCATGGGTCAACATTATATATTTAAGCATCCTTTATTTTGAACATTTTATTTGCATTTGGCTTTTAATTGTATCATTTATATAATGATTGTTCTTTTACATAGCATATTTTGTGCATTTCTGATGATTAAATTAAAGTCCTGAAAATGGATATACTAAGATAAATTTTATAGAAATACTTTGAGGAGGCATTTTTTTCCCAGTCGCATTCTGAGTGCCTTCCTACCTGAGGGGCTCATTTTCCCGTCCTGTATCTGACAGTGTTTCTCTGCTATTCATAGAGTTTTCAGTGACTAATTTACTGTTTTGATTTTTAAATATTATTGTTGCTTCACTGATGCAGCATCATTAACCTAAAAAAAAAGTTCTATTCACAAATGGGATTATATTCACAAATGTAGGGGTTTACGATTTACGACACATATTTTGGTGGGATGCAATTCAGTCCGTAACAGTCTTGGTCCTGGCCTCTCAGCTTGCATTTTGTTGTTGATCAGAGGGTGGTACCATGATACAATAAAGATTCATTCCTGTTTATATGTTCTTTATGGAACATACATTTCAAAAATGTTCTTGAATTCGTATCATGATCACCATCTTCACAGACCTTCTATTTCTCAAGCATACACATTATATGTTTACGATGCAAATACTAGCCTTATATGAGAAAGCCCAAGCCGCTTATTGAAAGCTAGGGTCTACTCTGATTGCTCCGCTTTTTCATGTACTGTTTTCTCTTATTCCATATGAACTGTAGGTGTGCATGGACAAGTGTATATGGAAAATCAAGACCACCTTGATAGTTCTTATTTCTATGAAAGGGAGATCCAGTTATAAATGATCTTAAATTTTCTTTGTTCCTGCATGTTTTCCAAATTTTGAAAAATAAACTCACGTAAGGGAGAAAGATGAGACTTTCTGCTCCCATGAAGATTTACAACCTTGGAAACCCTATTTGGAGCACTATGAGTAGGAATCCACTCACTGACATACATACAGCAAGTACCCACCACCACCATAATCTGTAATCTGTTCCGACCCATAGCGACCCTGTATAGGGTTTCCAAGGAGCAGCTGGTAAATTACCTTGCAGTTCAAACCAACTTTGCAGTCCAGTGCATTAACCCACAGCGCCACACCAGGACTCCCAACTATAGCTTTAATAATGAACTAACTGCTTACTAAGCTGCTGTGTGCCGGAATAGATGTGAATTAAATGAATTTGGTTTTTGCTGTTTTTATTTGTTTGTTTCTTTCAGCGTCCTCTACGGAAATAAAATCACAGAACTTCCAAAAAGCTTATTTGAAGGACTATTTTCCTTGCAGCTCCTGTAAGTATTTGATTGTTCCTGATCTGTTCAGAATAAATACTGTATTTTAGTCTTGAGTTTCATTTAGTGTTTTCACGGACATGTCAGAAAAATTCAGCCCAAATCATACATTTAAATGAAATGGAAGACATAAGCCTAACAGAGCTAACACATAGTTGTTGTTGTTTTTTAAGATGCAACACTTTGGAATTGTCCTAAAATCTTTCTCTCTATATGCTCATGAATGTATACTTTCTGACTCTACCATAATTTGAAGTTTGTATAATTACTGTCCTTTGTAAAGCATCTCTGTTTTGATTTAACAGTAGATGCAAATGAAACACATATGAAGATATGTTTACCAGCAGTTGTCAAAAGATTTTGTCAAATGACAGGGCTAGAATCATACTCCCAACGCAACCATGATTTGCCGCAAGGCAGTTGTCCTAAAATTACTATACTGACAGAATGAGCTCTAAATTCCTGAATTGTATCCTTAAAAGCTGTTTGGTTCCAAAAATAACTGCTACTCAATCTGTCTCTAAAGTTATATTGACTATACATATTTATACCAAGTATTTTGATACCAAGTATTTTAATGAATGTCTATGTGAAAAGGAAATTTGACAAAAACAAAATGCTGATAGCAATATCCTTAAGGACCCTGGTGGTATAGTGAATTATGCATTGGGCTGCTAACCAGAAGGTTAGCAGTTCAAATCCACCAGTTACTCCATATGAGAAAGGTGAGACTTTCTGCTCCCATAAAAATTTACAGCTGTGGAAACCGCATAAAGGGTTGCAATGAGATCCGCAAGTACTGTTTCTGATTTTGAACACAGATTCTATTCACATTATGTTGTTGTTGTTGTTGTTAAGTGCTGTCAAGTCAGCTCTAGCTCTTAGTCTCATAGCCACCAGTATAGCATTTCCAAGGAGCAACTGGTGGGTTTGAACTGAAAATCTTGTGGTTAGTCCAATGCTTATCCTACAGTGTCAAACCAGGATTCCATTCACATTATGTTGTTGCTAAGTTCTGTCAAGTCAGTTACAACTCATAGCGACCCTGTATAACAGAATTTCTGAGTAGCAGCCGGTGCGTTTGAATCACTGAATAGCTATCACTATATGTTACGGAGCCCTGGTGTGGCACTGTAGGATAAGCACTGAACTACTAAGCACGAGATTGGCAATCCACACCCACTAAACCATTCCTTGAAAATTCTGTACAGGGTTGCTATGAGTTGGAATCGACTTGACGGCATTTTACAGCAGCAATATATATATATTATAGATAGAGTTTAATGTTATAACCTATTAACTCCTATTTATTTTTTATCTCCTTGTCATTCTTCCACATTTTGTTAGCATTACACTCCTTGTTGTTGTTGTTAAGTGCCATCGAGTCGGTTCTGACCCATAGCAACCCTGTATAGGGTTTCCAAGGAGACGCTGGTGAGCTTGAACCTGGCTTTGCAGTCTGGCACATTAACCCACAGTGCCACACCAGGACTCCACCAGTTACTTAAAATTCTTTTTAATAACTCTGCTGTGTTTAGTACAATACTTAAAATGCTGCCCTTTTTTTTCTAGACATACATGTTAATAAACCATGGGTATCTGGATGTAGGTAACCCTTACTTATAGATCTGTCTTTGCCCCTCAGCCTACTGCTCGGTCCCTAGATTAAAACCCATTCTTAAGCCTGCTAGGGCTAAAAATACAGTTAAATCTTTACAGCTTGTTAAGAATTTGGTAAAGTTAAATACTGTATCTCTGTTGAAACAGAAGCTGTACTGGGGAGAAGTAGGTAAATAGGAGGAAAAGAAATTGGTCTCCAATGACTTTTCTTTATTCTTTTTAATTGGACCAAATTAATTTAAATAAATACAAGATGCTCAGACAGTCCCTTCTTTGAGTTTCTTTGAGACTCCTGCCTTTCCTTGTCCCTAATTTTTGCTCTTCAGCTTCTCTCTTCAGGTAGCTTATGAATTAAGAAACAGGGTTCACATTACTTGTGTTAAGACCCAGGGTGGAGAGGGATGAGATTAATCAGTGCCTTCCTCAAACTATCCTTCTTTAAAAATAAAAAAGAAGTCAAACTCACTGCCATCAAGTCGAGTGTGACTTGTAGCGACTCTATATAAGGTTTCTGAGACTGTCAGTGAACAGGTAGCCTCATCTTAATTCTGTTTGAGCCACCAACCTTGTGGTTAGCAGTCCAGTGCTTATCCTACGGCGCCACACCAGGATTCCAGTTTAGGATTAGAGCTTTTAATATAGCAATATCCCATGTCACTCTCCCAGAGGGTTATAAAATATTAATTTAGCAACCAATCTTTTTTAAGCATTTAGTATATTCTAGGCAAGAGGGAATTTATTGTTCAGTGGAAAAAGTCTCACCTTCAGTGTGGGAAGCCTGGATTCAATTCCCGGCTACTACTTCTCATGCTGGGACACCTGGTGTGGCACTGTAGGATCAGCACTGGACTGCAAGCCAGAAGGCTAGAAGTTCAAATCCACCAGCTGCTCCTCAGAAACCACATACAGGGTCTCTATGAGTCAGAACCAGCTCAGTGGCACTTAGCAACAATAACAACAACACTTAGCAGCAACAACATACGGAGCTACCACCCATCTGTCTGTAGAGACTTGGGTGTAGCGATGATATTGACCAGGTTTTAGTGGAGTTTCTGGATTCAGGTAGACTATGAAGAAAGAACTGGTGATCTACTTGTGACATTCAGTCATCAGTAAGGGTAGGCGTCTTTGAGAAACTAAGATTTGAGCTGACTCCAGGAAGTGAAGTAAAACTTCACACAGACATTCCAGGTGGAGGGGAGAAAAGTCTGGTGTGTTTGAAAAAGAGCTAAAACGAAAAACAAAGTGGTTGGGGTTGTTAGAACCAGGAGGAGACAAGCAGGTGGTTATAATGTTCAGAAGATGGCTTAAGGTTCCTGGGGCCACTGCAGGCTATTGTGAGGATTTAGAATTCACCCAGAGCTATGTGGGAGTTGGTGCACAATTTGAGAGAGCAGTGACATCAGCTAATCGATGGTACTGAGGGATCACTCTGACCTTTGGAGAACAGAGAACGTGTCTTTCTCATAGGACATCTTGAAGCACTGAGGTTTCATGACATTTTGTTATTGTATTGCATCTTCAGCAACAGAGGTTGGAACTCATGTACTCTCATCTAATGCTCTGTCTCTGCATCTTCCAAAGAATGATGTCCAATCATTTTTATTAAGTAAGGTATAAATACCACCAGTTTAAGACTCTCATAGATTGTATGGCTTTTTCCTTATCTGGCAGAACCAAATCTTCAATATATAACATCTAAAGTATTCAAGTTAAAATGGTGGGGGCTAAAAGAAATGTATTGCTTGATCAGGGGGTTCTTCAGAAGGACAGGTTATTGAAGGTGAGTTAATGAGATGCTACACTTTAATTCTGCAACTATTTGATCGAACAGATTATTGAATGCCAACAAGATAAACTGCCTTCGGGTAGATGCTTTTCAGGATCTACACAACTTGAACCTCCTCTCCTTATATGACAACAAGCTTCAGACCATAGCCAAAGGAACCTTCTCACCTCTCCGGGCCATTCAGACTATGTACGTACACAGAATTTGGCTCCAATTTGATGATGTTTGTTTTCATTCTGGATTTGAAAGTTGAGTCCATTGCAAGCTACCTGTAAATTTGTTCTGTATGTGTCTCTGCAAGGCATCTGGCTCAGAATCCATTTATTTGTGACTGTCACCTGAAGTGGCTGGCTGATTATCTCCACACCAACCCAATAGAGACCAGTGGTGCCCGCTGCACCAGCCCCCGCCGTTTGGCCAACAAGAGAATCGGCCAGATCAAAAGCAAGAAATTTCGTTGTTCAGGTAATTTATTTTTTCTTTCTTTGATACTTCTCTGGTGTTACCAAACACAATCATTACATAAGACATAACAAAACAGCTGGCCTTCGACAGAATTACCAACCATTGCAGAATTGAATTTCTTTCCCTTCTGCACACGAAGATATACAAAGAACTGCAGATACAAGACATAGAGCCCTCATATGTCTGAGATTTTTAAACAACGTATCCAGCAGAAAGAAGTAGGCTATTGGACAATTTAAATAAGATGACTGGCTACTGTGCAGAAATATTGCCAGTATTCCAACTTTATTGGGTTTAATTAATAAATGCAGAATGCCTTTTAAGTGTATGAAGTTTGGTATATCATTCTCCATTGCGCAACTTAAAAGTAATCAATTGTTTACATTTTTCATAAAGTGAGCTGAGTCTTGCTTATGGCTCAGACTTTGAAATAGAGGAGGAAACAAACCGAAACACTTTAAATCCCTAGCTTCTCACATTGAGGCCACTTTCTTATATTGTGTAATATAAATATGAAGGCACATTTCCCCCCGGTTACCGTCTTTTTAAAATATAGGAATATTAACATTTATTCACAACAAACCAAATACAGATGCATTGTATTCATGCTTCATTTTTTTAAATGCCTCATTAAAATTTGCTATTTGTTTTGATCTAACTGTTTGTATTTTCTTATGTTAAAATGCATTCTGTCTATTTTGGTAGTCTACTGCCTAACAATTCCAGGCGTATTTCACATTCGGCAGAGGATTCATACTAAAACGCTAATATTGAATCAAAGCTGTGTATTGCCAATGATTCTAGATGCATTTATTCCTCACTGTACATTGTTATTCTTCAGCCACTGTTGTGAATAGACATTTTTCATTGAATTATCTACAGTACCTATAGTTCATTCTTTATCTAATATAACTCATATCTCTGCTTGCTGACATTCAGGTGCATCTTCTATTTTTTTTTTTTCTCTTTTTTTATTTAGCTAAAGAACAGTATTTCATTCCAGGTAGGTTTTGCTTGGTCGTAGGACTAACTGCAGATATCCTTTCTTCACTTTTAGACTGTAGCTTCTAAACCTTTGATATGCATGCTTCTGAAAATGCAATGGGGAGTCTGTAGATAGATTTATGTCTGCATAGACCACCTGTATCTGTTTCCTGAAACCTGACCTTTGCATGAAGCTTACAGTGTTAAACATATCTATTAATAAACCTCCACCGTTTTGTTTTGGGGTTTTTTTCCCCCTCTCTCTCACGTTGGCACAGTCTCTAAACCGTCTCATGGTAGCTAAAATGTTTGAACTTATGACTCTCTCTTTAAATCACTTTCTCTCCTTACACTGAATATCTTCTCTTTAAACCTGTTTTTAAAAGGCAGCTTATTAAGCTGGTTTTAAAGACAGATATTTCTGTTGTCAAAGAGCTTGTTCTACACAAAATCAGTTACAAACTCAGAAAATTACTGTTTCCATCATGTGATTCATTTTTGGTATTTTTTAAAATACTTTTTTGCTTCCATTTTTCTCGCTTTAGCTTTACTTCTATTAGAAAACCAAAAAACTAAAAAAGGAACTTCGTGCTGATATATTTGCAGGTTTTCATTTTTGGTTTGTGACTACATTCTTATTCATGGGCAGTAAATGCCTTGAATAATGAAATGTACAATATTTCACCACTCTGAACTTGAAACTGTCAAGGCAGATGTTTGCTAGAACTGGCTCTTTGAAATACATCTCTTGACTTATTTTTCTCTTGCCTGCCAATTGTGTAAAATGCCTCTTGACATATTTGTTTAAAATCATTTTATATAAAGCATTACTTGTTAGTAATTGATGAACTACATTCACCATCTACAGGTTTTATCCCTAAATGACAATACATATTAAGAACTAAAAGTAAAAAGATATCTCTACATTGTTAGTATGCAAAGCCATATTTAATTTTTCAGAAAAGCTCTAGGTTTGGTCTCTTAAGTTATGGAGAAATTTGTTACTTGCCATTGTTGGATTATACTTAGAGTAATATTATGCATTTAATTGATTTTATATTTTTTGAACTGGAATGATCAACAATATTTTATATATTTTGCTTGTGGTTTGTGTAGGCTGTATAAGAAGAAAAGCACTGTAAGGAACAGTTTGTTGACCTGCATAAGAAATCATTAGGGTCCATTGTTTTTACCCAGTTATTAAATAGAAAGTCATCTGATAACTATCACTTCCTCTGAAAAAGCCAGATTCTAAATACGAGACCACCTATGGAATGAAAGAATGATCTGATTTAAGGCCCCAATATACAGCAGTTAATATAATTGTTCCAAAATTGTCCAAACTATTCATGTGAAATGTTATTTATTAATAGAGTGAAAATTAATGTTTTAACTCTCCAAATAAACAGCAAATAAATTATATGAATACATTCTGAATTTGAATACAGTTTTGCCCTCATATTGACAGCAGTCAAAATTATAGACTTTGGGAAATAACTTTTATATCATATATTCCAGCTTAGCTTTAAATTTCTGGTAATTCAATTTTTTTGTAATTTAAAATCATTTTGGTAGAAGACAGGCCCATTATATTACGATGGTTTTATTAAAAACTGAACTTATGTAGAGAACCATCATAAATTCATCATTATTGTTACTTCATTGAATGCAGTTTCTTTTTAAAGTACGTCACATAAGGAGCTCTGGTAACGTAGCGGTTATTAATCAGGCTGCTAATCTCATGGTCAGCAGTTCAAAACCAGCTGTTCCGTGGGAGAAAGATGAGGCTTTCTGCTCCCATAAAGATTTACAACCCCGGAAACCCTGTACAGGGTCGCTATGAGTACAGGAACACTGTACAGAAACCAATTCCACGGTACGTAACAACAACACACTTAGCATATTGTTAGTTAAACTTTGTTGCCATTACAACTTCATTTCAAGAGGTCTTTGGATGGCAAAAACAATTTAGCCAAAAGATTGGAGGTTAGAACACACCAAGAGGTGCATTCTGTCTTCTGAAAGCCCATAGCATTAAAAACGTAATGGAAGAGCAGTGGTCTACACACCTGGGGTCACCAAGAGTCAGACGTGACTTGAAGGCAACTAATAGCAACAACAACATAATCTCATTTTACTTTAAAGTCTAGAATTTACAGCAAGACAGATGATCCCCCAATCCATGCACTCACTGACAAATGTATCCTAAGTATTATATTCAGCCTGGAAAACGTCTCGAGATTCTGATTCCACGGCCACTAAGTGACATTGTATTTAATAGGTCAGGAAGATCATTAAAGAGTGTGGAAGCCACAACCAAGTATTAATGCCAATGTACTTGAGGATCTCTATGATTCTTAATTTTACATGTCTACTTGCCTACTGCCATTCAATATAACATTCTAGATAACAATGACATCTCAAAGGGAAATCTGTCTTGCAGAGAGTTCCTCTTTAAAAGAATCCACAAGAACTTGACTTTGAAATACCCATCTTTTTCTCGGAACACTATTGTGCTTCAAAAATAATGATGACATTTCACAAAGCATGAAAACCATCACACCTTGATAGTTCCTTGTTAATTGCTGTAGTAAACAAGGAAACGAGAACTTGGTTATATATGTATATATATATATATATATATACATATATAACTTGGTTAAATATACATATGTGTATATATTCCTCTTAATTGAGATTACTCTGTCTTTCTTTCTTGGTAACCTTTACTTTTGCAGGAGTTCACCATTTGGGCTGTAAGTAAAAGTGTCTTCTCTCAAATACGATATCTTTCCTTTTCAACTCTGATGGACCTTCTTCTAGTCTTGACCTTTTTACACCTTTTTTTTTCCTCCCAAGAAGAAGCCATGGATCTTTTGAGCTTCTCTATTGTCCTTGTAGCTCACTTGAAACTTCTTCCTCATGTGGTTCCTGAAAGCTGTTGCTTCATTCTGCAGTTCTGAGGAACAGTGGGAGGTGTCTTTCTGTATAGCCCCCTCTTTGTGTTTCCAGGAAATCGTCAGTAGTAATACTCTTACTGTGATCCTAAATATTCTGCCGGAAGAATGCATGTCATGTAACTAGTATTACGTTTCCAGAATGTCTGTAGCTCTTCTCCTACTTCCCCTCATCTTTCCTCTTGGTCTTTCCCTTGGCCTAGTGGATGGCGTAGTGATTATGTAGCGAGATTTTCTGTTGTGCTTGATCTAACCATGTGGTTGCGAGGTATGAGTAAAACATGGTTCCGTCAAGCACCATGGAACGTCACGCAGCTTTCTACAGCATGACAAGCTGCTGAGGCTTAAATCAGGATTTACTTGACTCTTTTTATCAAAAGAACATGAAAAACAAAAAGAGGGCTTTTTAGACTTCCGGAAGATGATGTGAGAGGGAGAGAATTCTAAAAGAATGTAGCGAATCGGGGAAAAAAAACCCTGGAGACATCTATTTGCCGTGAAAGCCCTAATTTTAAAATGAAATCTAGGAATATGTTTATTACAGAATCCATTTTAAAATCTTGACGTAGAGGAAAAAAATAAGCTTTCTTTTCTTTTTCTTTTTCTTTTTTTTTTAATAATTAAGTAGCCATTGTAATGATTAGCTGTGAACTAAGAAGGAATGGCTAAAAACTGGATCAGCAGAAGTAAAGCTGTGCAAAGCTCAACTTTATGAATGTCTTCCTGTCTTGTGACTCTAGAAATTTTTTTTCCTAGCAAATTCCAAGCCCTTGTTTTAATCCACTCCTCACATCCATTGACCAAAAAAATCCCCAAGCTGTCTTCCTACTGCATAATCTATAGTTGTCTTCCTTTTTTCCTTCCTACAAATTAATAAATATTCTAAATTTCAGACTCAGTATCTATTCTCTTGGCTTGAATCCTCACTAGGTACAGAAGATTATCGATCAAAATTAAGTGGAGACTGCTTTGCGGATTTGGCTTGTCCTGAAAAATGCCGTTGTGAAGGGAACACAGTTGATTGCTCCAATCAGAAACTTAACAAAATCCCAGAACACATCCCTCAGTACACAGCAGAGCTGTAAGTGAACCTGTGATGAAATCCTTGCTGGTGGGGCTGGAGATTGAAATGAAAACACAGTAATTTTGTCTTGCCTTATTCATCTCAATAATTATATCGATATTAATGAGTGTCCATTGGCATAACTCTTCTTGGTACAAGTGCCGATTAGAGGGTCCTTGAACATTTTGAATAGAATCGATGGCACTGAAATTGTTATAAACGCTTAAAGTGGCAAATGGCATGTTATATGTATTTTACTACAATAATTTTGAAAAAAGGAATTTTGTAAAGGCTATCTTTGTTTATCTTTCTGACTTATGATGTTGTTGTTGTTATTGTTGTTAAATGCCAGTCGAGTAAATCCGACTCATAGGGACCCTTTATAGGGTTTCCAAGAAGCAGCTGGTGAGCTTGAACCACCGACCTTGCAGTTCAAACGACTTTGCGGTCTGATTCATTAGCCCACAGCGCCATACAAGGACTTCCTGACTTGTGATACAATTACAGAAATCATTTTCATTTCTCAGAATTCTCTTAACTACTCAGTTAATGCTAGTGTTGGTAAGTGTCGTCAAGTTGGTTCCGAGTCATAGTGACCCTGTATAGGGCTTCCAAGGAACATCTGATGAACTTGAACCACCAACCTAGCACTTCAAATCAACCTTACAATCCAGTGCAAACCCGCAGCACCACACTAGTACTGTTAGTAATAGCATTTTGGGTGGCATTTGTTATATCCAGATCAATTTCTTCTTAATCCAAATCAGTTTCTACTTAACAACAAGAAGTAGGTTTTTTACTTATTTAATGTTTGCAGCAAACATGTAAGATAGTATGAAAATCACCATTTGAAGGTCTCTGTCAGTTATGGAATTTGAGTTCTGTTTGATTTCATTCTGAACTCCACTATTTCATTGAGCCAAGTAGGATTCAGTGATTGGATTCAGGGATTGTTGTTGTTAAGTGCCTTCAAGTTGGTTCCCACCTTGTAGTCCAGAGCATATCCTACAGCACTACACCAGGGCACTAGGATTCAGTGATTACCAAATGTTAAAGCCTAAGGAAAGTATATTCATAACAGACACAGCAGAAAAAACAAGGTGTAGCATTTGTATCGATAACAATACTATAAGGCCTAAACCGAAGGAGGTGCTTGTTGAGTCATGGATAGGTTCTGTGCTCACAGATGTTTTGCCTTTACTGGCTTTATTTATAAAAGCAAAGCCTTTAGTGTTAATGTTCACAAAACTCAAGGAATGCCTAGCCAAATCTCATCATTTCAAGAACATTTTAGCAATGTTTACATACACAATCTGGCCTTTGTCATTTACTGCTTTACAAAGTTGGTTGTTTTATTGTGCATGCATAATCCTTTTGTCTTCAACTAGAATGCAGCTCTTTGATGACTGGGATTGTGTTTTATAGTTTATCTCTTACTGTGTTTACACTGTGGCCTTTTATGTAATGCATTCCAAGTGATTTAAATAAATAAGAATAATGAAATGTCTTTCAAAGTTGTGAGAGAAAATAACTTCCCTGTGGGTAAAGAGAAGTCTTTTTACTCTGATTAGCTTATGAAGCTATTTCAGGGCTCCAAGGCTTTTAGGAAAGCTAAGTCCATGCCATGAAAGCCCTTTACTGTCTATATCTATAGTCTTATCCTTACCCCCATTTCCAAAAAAATACTACAGTCATTCAAATGATGTCTCCTAGCATGATAGCACCTTAAGTAGGCTTATTTATCAAACAAAAATTAGTATTACAGAAAGTAACATTTGACTCAGTGTTACAAAGCAAAAGTTGCAGGTTTGTGTTCTGAAAAATTAGGAATTGAAAACATTACACACTGAATAATCGCGAGTCATATATCTGATAAAGGATGTGTAGTCAGGATACAAGAAGGACTCTTAAAACTCAACAACAAAGAGTTATATTTCCCAATTTTAAAAAAAGATCCTAATTTCGAGTGGGTATTTCCCTGAATAAGGTATACCAATGGCCAGTAAGGACATTACAAGATAATTAAAAGCATTAGGCATTAGAGAAATGCCAATCAAAACCACATTGGGAGGCCACTTTATACTTACTGTTGTTGTTATTAAGTGCAGTGGAGTTGGTCGCTCCAAATAGCAACTCTATACACAACAGAACTACTCAGTCCTGCACCATCCTCTCCACTGTGGCAACACTTGAGCCTTGTGTCTGCTACTATGCCAGTCTGTCTTCACAGGGGGTCTTGCTATTTTTTTCACTAACTCTCCAGGGACTGCTCCCTCCTGATAACATGTCCAAAGTATGAGAGACGAAGTCTCACCATCTGGCTTCTAAGGAACATTCTAGCTGTAATTCTTTTTTTTTTTTTTTTTTTTTTTTTAATGTTTTATTGTGAATTATGTGATAGTTTACATGGGAGAACATTAGTTTTACATTCATCCTATCTTATATCATTTCATTGCCATGGTTACAATCCCCTCCATGCATCATCAACCAACCAAAGGGTATACACTACAAGCCTGCACCCCCGTTGTCAGCACACAGCCCCTCTCCCTCTTTGGATCTAAAGTCTCCAGCTGCTCCATCTCTCCACATCATCCTCTCTGCCTCCATCTCAGGCATCACTGCTTCTCTAGGTAGGGTCCCACTCTCCACTCTTCTTCCTTGATGGTCCCAGGGACCTCCGCTCCTAGACTGAAAAGTTAATCACTCCCCTCCTTGCTACAAAACATCTACCTTTACATTTCCAACCCTCACAAGCAGTCCTGATAACAATTATTCACTATTGTATCACAAGAGACCTATCCGCATTTCCTTTCATCAGCCCCACCTAGACAGATTGGATACTACTCAGTGGAGATTCTACCGTACTTCACACCCTCTGAATCTAGGTTCCCTCTTGAAAGCTTGTAAGTAGTCACTTCTCACCTTTGTAGCCCCGACCCTCCATTTTGGGTAGCCAATGTCCAAGTTGCCCATCCCTGTCTAGTCTGTGTGTGGAGGGGGTGGGAATGATCCTTGCTGTAAGGATAGCTGTAGTTCTTTCAACAAGAAGAAACATTTGTTTCTTCTTCTGGCAGTCCATGGTATGTTCGGTATTCTTTGCCAATACCATAATTCAAACGCATTGATTTTTCTATGGTCTTCCTTATTCGTTGTTCAACTTTCACATTTTTGTGTTGTTATTGTTGTTAAGTGCCATCAAGTTGGTCCCGATCCATAGTGACCCTGTATAGGGTTTCCTAGGAGCGGCTGGTGAGCTTAAACCACCGACTTTGCAACTTTGCAGTCCAATGCATTAACCCACAGTGCCACACCATGGCTTGGAATTGGCATACCTTAATCTTCATACTGATATCTTTGCTCTTTACCATACTTACTAAGAAAACTATAATGAAAAATTAGACAGTAACAAATGTTGACAAAGATTGGACAAATTGGTATTCTCATAAGTTATTGAGTGGAATGTAAAAGGGTGCATTTATTTTACAAAACAGTTTAACTGTTTATCAAAGAGATAAACATACAAAGGTTTCATAAAGTTCATGGAAAAGTTTCATTATCTTTCAAAACCATTCTTCAACAAACTTTTTTTCTCCCCTCATAAAGTTGTCTTATGATTCAACAATTTCACTTCTATGTGTATTTCCAAGAGAATTGAAAACATGTACTCACCAAGAAGCAGAATGGGGTCTATACAAGCAACGGGGCATTCTTTTTTACCCAAAAAAGTACAAGTTGTGGTATATGCTACAACATGAAAGAACCTTGGAAATATTTTGCAAAGTGAAAGAAATATATTTTTTGCTATTGTTAAGTGCCGTAGAGTTGATTCCGACCCATAATGACCCTGTATAGGGTTTCCAAGGAGTGTGTGGTGAGCTTGAACCGCCAGTCTTACAAATCAAACCGACTTTGCAGTCCAGCGCATTAACCCACAGCACTACCCCAGGATTGCATATATTGTATAGCCCCTCTTATATGAAATGTTCTAAATAGGCAAATACATAGAAATGACTCCTAATGTGGAACTGACTCTTAATGAGTATGACTTCCTTGGGAATGATGAAAAAGGTTTTAGAATTAAATAGTGGAGATGGTTGCACATGTTAGATGCAAAGAAGGATCAGTGGTTGGAAAATATGGCCTTGGTAATAGAAACTTTGCTAGACCAACAACTTATTCACTGTAAATACCTTTTCTTCTACAATATACACATGGGCCTCTCCAGATGGCATACACAGGAATCAAATGAACTACTTCTCTGGGAGGAAACTATGGAGCAGCAAGGCCAGGGGCCAACTGTGAAACAAACCATCAATTACTCATTTGCAAGTTCAAGCCAAGGCTGAAGAAAATAAAAACAAGTCCGTAAGAGCCAAAATCGGGCTTTCAATGTATCCCACTGGAATTTAGAGACCTTCTCAAGAACAGATTTGATGCATTAATTAGACACTAATGACAAAGAACCAGAAGAGCTGTGTGTGGCATGACATCAAGAACATCATACATGATGAAAACACGTCATTAAAAAGGAAAGCAATAAAAGGCCAAAATGGATTCCTGAAGAGACTCTGAAACTTAATCTTGAGCATAGAGAAGCTAAAGCAAATGAAAGAAATGAGAGTAAGTGAACCGAACAGAAAACTTCAAAGGGCATCTCAAGAAGACAGAGTCCAATATTATAATGAAAAAGGACATGGAGTGTGAAAACCAATAGGGAAGAACACACTCAGCATTTCTTAAGCTGAAAGAACTGAAGACAAAAACTCAAGCCTAGTCTTGCACAACCAGACCAGTAAATAACATCATGATAAATAAAGGATTGAAATGGAAGGATTCTATGGACAAACTGTTGTCCTGGTGTGGTGCTGTGTGTTACTGCACTGGAATGCAAACTCAGTTTGATCCGCAAGGTCAGTGGTTCAAGCTCACCAGCTGCTTCTTGGGAACCCTATACAGGGTTGCTATAGGTTGGAACCAACTCAACTGCATTTTACAATAACAACAACAACAAATGGACAAGCTATTGAATTAGAAAGAATCTGTACATAGACCAAGAGGCAGTTCTCAGAACAGAATCAGAGGATACTAAATGGTTTAATATATGGGAAGGTATGCAACACAGGTGTATCCTTTCACCATACTTGTTGCTTGTATAGACCCCATTGTGCTTCTTGGTGAGTACATGTTTTCAATTCTCTTGGAAAAACACATAGAAGTGGAATTGTTGAATCATAAGACATATGATGAGCAAGTCCATATGGTGAGCAAGTAATCTGAGAAGGTGGGTATATGAAGAAAAGTGTGGCATCAGGATTGGAGGAAGACTCATTAACAGTCTGCGATATGCAGATGATACATACAACCTTGTTTCCTGGCATCAAAGAGAACTTAAAATACTTCCTGATGAAAATCAAAGACTATAATCCTTCAGTATGGATTGCACTTCACTGTAAAGAAAACAAAAATCGTCACAACCAGAGCAGTAAATAACATCATGATAAATAAAGGATTGAAATTGTCCAAAACTTCATTTGGCTTGGATCCACCATCAACACTCAGAGAAGCAGCAGTCAAGAAGACAAATGACCTATTGAATTAGGCAAATCTGCTGCCCAAGGTCTCTTTAAAGTGTTCAAGAAGAAAGGCATTTGTTTGATGATTGACCCAAGCCATGGTATTTTCAGTCTCCTCATAAGCTTATGAAAATTGGAGAATGAATCAGAAAGACCGTAAACTATTGATACCTTTAAATTTTGGTGTTAGAGAAGACTATTGGAAGTACCTCAGAAGAACAACTAATCTGTCTTAGAAAAAAAGTACAGCCAGAATGCTCCTTGGAAGCCAGGGTGGAGAGACTCTCTCTCATTCTTTGGACTTGTTTCCAGGAAGCAGCAGTCCTTGGAGAAGAGAACATCATGCTTGGTGAAGTGGACAGTCAGCGAAAAAGAGGAAAGGGCACCAATACGATGGACTGACACAGTGGCAGCAACAGTGGGCTCTAACATTATAATAATTGTGAGGCTAGCACAAGACTAGGCAGTATTCTGTTCTGTTGCAGTTAGGGTAGCTATGAGTTGAAACAAGAAAACGACAGTATCCGGTGTTTTAGTGTATCTTATTTTGATCATTAAAATGTGATAGGTAAACACTGTATTTTATTTTAAAGTTATCATTAAATAATGGTATAATTCACTATGGAAACAAAATTTTATCTCTTCTTTAAATCTGGTAATGAGAGTTTTCTGTTGTTTTTTTTTTCCCCACATAGGCGTCTGAATAACAATGAATTCACAGTGTTGGAAGCCACAGGAATCTTTAAGAAACTTCCTCAATTACGTAAAATGTAAGCCGTGTTTTATCTGTGTTTTCAGATATTTGGCATGTTGTTTTGTTTTGTTTTGCTTTTCCCATCACTTAAGTTGTTTCTAAGTATGGTTAAGAATTGGAAACTATAACCTCAGTGACACTGCCAAGCAATGATTACCTGTAAAATGAATCTAAGATCATCATTGAGAGCTGTCTGAGTAACTGGCTGTCTTCTTTGTAGCCAAACAAGGCCATCTGCATTCTCCATGGAGGAACACCAACATCTTACATTAACCCAGACAGCTGGTCTCTTATGTGACCACAGCAGGAATCCAGTAATCTAAGCACATCAGAAATGGGTTCAGTCATGGTTTGTAACTTCCTTTACTATCCCCCAAACCATGCAGTTGTTTCTCTTTCAGCACATTCATGTCAATGATTTGACTTTTTGCTTCATTAAACTTTCATTAGAAAATAGTGAAAATTAATGATTGGAAAACTGGCTGGATAGCTCATCTGTGTTACAACATATCCACAACTCATATTCAAAAATAAATTTAGAAGATCAGCAGTTTCAGAAATGCTCAGTCAGTAGCCTTCTGCTCTGAGAGCTGACAGGGAGGGACTAGGTCAGGAGTGTGAGGCCAGTGAGACCCCTTCCACATGAAACATCTCCAGGAGGAAGGAAGGACTCCATCATCATAGTTGTGCGTTCAGATAAGTAACTAGGAGCCCTGGTGGCGTGCTGCAGGATAAGAACTAGACTGCTAACTGCAGAGTCAGCAGTTCGAAACCACCAGCTGCTCTTGGAAACCACATAGAGGGTTGCTATGAGTTGGAACCGACTTGACAGGACACAACAACAAAAATAATATTGTACCATTGTCACAAAGACTGTACAGTGGACTGAACCAACTGCCAATACACTTGACCTCCATGGGTTTTTGATTTCTTCATTTTCCCCTTCTGACATTAACATTAGAGTCCGGGTGTGGCACTGTAGGATAAGCACTGGACCTCAGGATTGGTTTGAACCGCTAGGTTGGCAATTCAAACTCACCAGCCTCTCCTTGGACACCCTATACAAAGTCGCTATGAGTCAGAACCGACTCGATGACACTTAACAACAACATGGTGAAAACAGTTAATACCCTTGGCAGCTAACCAGAAAGTTGGCAGTTCATGTATGTCTACCCCGTGGCTCCTCCCTCAGAAGAAAGGTCTAGAAATCTATTTCTGAAAAATAAGCTATTGTAAACTCCATGGAGCACAGTTCTAGTTTAACATACACGGGCGATGACAATGAATCATAATCAACTCACCAGCAGCTGGTTTTAATTCCATATTCTCTTCAACTACAAGATGACTTTTTTTTTTTAATGTTTTATTGTGAATTATGTTATAGTTTACATGGGAAATCATTAGCTTTACATTCATCCTATTGTATATCATTTAATTGCCATGGTTACAATCCCCTCCATGCATCATCAACCAACCATACCCTACAAGCCTGCCCCTCAGTCATCAGCACACAGCCCCTCTCCTTCTCTGGGTCTAGAGTCCCCAGCTGTTCCCTCTTTCCACATCATCGTCTCTTCCTCCATACAAGATACCTTTTAACTCAACCAATAGTTACTGAGAAAGTCAATGAAGAATTGAATGATCCATGGACATGACCCTTCTTTATGACCACTCCTTTTCTTGGAGTAAACAGTGAAGCCAAGAGATTAGAACCTACAAAAGAGTCTTTTCTTCAACTCCACATTTTTGCCTTCTGATCAAGCACTTGTGGTATTTTACATCACACAGGTTAATAAGAGATTTTTTTGTTGGTGGTGGTTGTTTTGACCTGTTTTTGCGTGATACATTCCTGCTACAAGTAATCTATTTCAGACTGTCTTTGCTGTCCCTATCCAATTGTCTTGTTTTAGTCAGTAAAATCCATATATCCATTATAATCAGTTGCATTTGTTTAGAGAAGTATTTTTTATTTGGTTTTGTGGAAATTAGGAGGTTACAATCTCCTACCTGACCTCAAGGACTGGGCAGTGTTTCGTTCTGCTGTGCAGAGGGTTGCTATGAGTCAGTACCGACTCGATGGCACCTAACAACAACAACAACAATAACAAACCTGACTTCAAAGATTTTATACATCTGGTAATCTTTGCAGATGATAATAACATTGACTGGGCTGGTATTTTTCACCCCAGAGGTTCCACTTTTGTAGGTTTGGCTTGATGAATGAGAAGGCTGGTATCTTTTCAGAGTCTTAGTGCTGAAGAGCTCTGGGAGGTTGTGGATGACTTTATTTAGAAACAGAAAATGGTCAAACCTGCAACCAGTTCAGTAGTTCCAGGTTCCTCACTGTTAGAAAAGAATTGTTTAAAGTGTATTTTTTCCCTGATTTTGTATTTAGAAACTTTAGTAATAACAAGATCACAGACATTGAAGAAGGAGTGTTTGAAGGAGCATCAGGGGTAAATGAAATACTTCTCACAAGTAATCGTTTGGAAAATGTTCAACATAAGATGTTCAAGGGATTGGAAAGCCTCAAGACACTGTAAGTATTCATATGCATTGTGATGGGTATTAACTTACTGGCCATTGTTCTTCCCCTGGGGCTGTTATACCAAAGTACCACAAAGTGGCTGGCTACAAAGAACAGCCATTCATTGTCTCACAGTTCTGGAGGCTGGGAGTTTGAATTCAGAGCATCAACAAAGACATATTCTCTCTGTCCACTCTAGGGGAAAGACCTGTCTCCTCTCTTAAAACTTTTTGTAGCCTCAGGAGTTTCTTGAGGAAAACATGACTGTCTTCCCTCTGTATGTTTCTTGGGTTCCATTTTGTTAAAAGAACAGAATTTAGATGGTGCTCTCGGATAAGCACTGGACCACAAGGTCAGTTTGAACCACAAGGTCAGCAATTCAAAGTCACCAATTGCTCCTTGGAAACACTATACAGGGTGGTTATGAATCATAACCAATTCAACAGCACTTAACAAAAACAGTAAGATCCAATGGTATGAGAGTATGTCCTGGTATGAGACTGTAGGACAAACACTGAACTGTTAACTTCAAGGTCGGTGAAACCCTATACAGGGTTACTATGAGTCAGAACCTAATCAACGATACTAAACAACAACATTAGATCCAAAATACACTAACATGATCTCCTGTTAACTAGATAGTGTCTTACAAGATCCCAGTCTTCCTACCCCCCCAAAAAAGGTCATGTACCAGGGATATTGTGTTTGTTGTTAAGTGCCGTGGAATTGCTTCCAACTCATAGTGACCCTGTTTAGGGTTCCCGAGGAGTGGTTGGTGAGTTAGAACTGCCAACTTGGTGGTTCAAACCAACCTTGCGGTTGAGTTCTTTTCCTATGACTCCAAAATGTCCTGCAAATCCAAAATTATGAGAAAAGGACTATCAGTCTGTGTCTCATGCATAGACACACACACACACGAGTTTACTGGATGCAGACAATTTATTACTCTAATACTCTTGATTTCAGTGTGTTCCAAATGACCAAGAACATCCCTCCTGGCTGCCAAAACAAGAAATCACTTTCCTCCTTCTCACCAAAGCAGATTATCTTTGCTTTGCAGTTTACAGAGACCTGACTCTGCTGTTTTGACTCAGTGGCCTGTTTCTTTAAATTTCTTTGGGGTATCTGCAGTGGCAAGAAGCCCACTGTCTCCTCCTAACCCTTATGTCTGTCACAGGCAGTCTGGAAGCCCCCTATCCCACCAGGGAGTCCAGTCACCTTATCTTGATCATATTCAGGGAGACCAAGGGCTATCCCCAGCCAGTGTGTATGCATGAATTTGAGCATTCCAAACTCAAATGGGTCTGAAAACCGTGCATATAACAGCACAGTTATTTTCCTAGAGCCCTAGACATTCATCAGAAATTACCTGTGACTTGCAGGCCCCTTTACTCCAATTTCCAAAATGATATGCTAATATTTTTCAGCTTTTATGTAGAGATACTGAGGAATGTTAAAAGTGGGGAGGACAGAAGAGACATATACTACGGGAGGATGCATTCCTCCATACATAAACTTCCTTACGTTTACAACTCAGCAAAACAGAAATCCTGCAACAAACTGAAGCCCCTCATTTTAGACTGTTGTTGAGGGACTCCTGCTTGTTACTGGAATCTTCTTAGTGGAGCAGGGGAGGGGTTGATGTCTCTCCAGCCCAGCCTGTGTTTGGCATCAACGTAACGTATAAATTGATTCTTTCCTTTCTACGTAATCGCCAAAGTAATGCTACTGAGAATACACAAATCAGAGGGCTTCATGGTCTCAGAGAGTTCTAGGTGAGTTAAGACGTTATTTAGTCATGCAAACATAATTCTAGCATGAAAAGAGCACATTCTACTGTCATCAGATCAGATTCTAAGTCCAAGTTGAGACTCCGTGGGCCTTTTGTAACAGAGAGGACTGATTGATAACCCCAAGCATTTGTTTCTTGCTGAAGGTTTGCAGTACATATCTGCAGCGATTCCTAATTGTTAAGTGCTGTTGAATGGGTTCCAACTCATTGTGACACTTTGTAAGGTTTCTGAGGCTGTACATCTTTGTGGGAGCAGAGAGCCTCATCTTTCTCCCACAGAACAGCTGGTGGGCTCAAAACCACTGACCTTGTGGTTCACAGTCCAGTACTTATCTTAGGAAGCCACCGCACAACAATAGGATAATCAGAAAATAGGAAGAAATGCTACCCATGTGCGAAGAGAAAATGTTTTGCTCCTCAAGAAGGAAACCTTGATTGCCTGGTGTTTTATCTCCATAACCAGGTCCGTTTTCTTCCTGCAGGATGCTGAGAAGTAACCGCATTAGCTGCATAGGAAACGACAGCTTCATAGGACTCAGTTCTGTGCGTCTGCTTTCTCTGTATGATAATCAGATTACTACGATTGCCCCAGGGGCATTTGATACTCTCCATTCTTTATCTACTCTGTAAGTATAAAGCATAGTATTCATTTAGCTAGTCCTTGAGTATGCTATTCATTCATTTTATTAATAGCATGTCCATGCTACCTCGGGCATTTTATAGAATCGCAAGCAAGAATTTAGGTATTAAAAACAAAAGGATTTTTTTTTTAAAAAAAGGATACATATATTTATATGAAACTCACTGTACTTTTCTGAAAAATCTTATCCACTGTCTTATATGAAATGTTCTAACAAGAAATTACACAATTTTTCGGTCGGTTCTTATTTTCCAACAGTGACCCAATAAAATGTCTTCATTTCTATGTTTTTATTGCATTGAAACTTGATAGTGCTTCAAATGGATGGTGCAGGACCAGGCAGTGTGTCATTCTGTTGTGCATAGAATTGCTATGAGTCAGAACTGATTCAAGAACCTGACAACAACCCCAGTGCTTCAAAAATGAATGAATGAATGAATAGATGGGGTTGATTCTTCCTCATGTTCTTATGTTGGAATAGTTTAAGGATAAATACCATAAAAGGAAAGTTCATAGAGTTATTGTCAACAAGGTAGGTTCAAAAGCATCATTTGTAGTGACAGGGGACATATGAGATTGACTAGACCAACAATAAACCTGGTTTACCAGAGGGTATGACATAAGGAAAACATTGAAGAATAAGTTGAGTGTTCAGGAGATTGTTTTATGTGGCTAAAGGCTAGCTGTAAATAGCCAGGAGAGAAAACAAAACGTTGTATATCTGTAGACAACTCAGATAAGAGTTCAGCAATACTCCAAAGAAAAGTATTGCAGACCTCTGGTATGAAATTATCTAGAAAAGAATGCTTGAAACTATTAAACTTATAACTGATTTGACTGCTCAGTAATGGGTAACATCCAAATGTTGTTGTTGTTAGGTGCCATCAAGTCAGCTCTAATTCATAGTTAGTCACCTTATGCACAACAGAACAAAACACTGCTGGTCCTGCTCTAACCTCACAATGGTTGCTACGCCTGAGCCTTTTTCTGTCAGTACTGAGCTTTTCCATCTCGTGGGGGGCTTTACATCCAAATATACTACACTAATTCATTTCAGTGGGGAGGGGGGAGAGGTGCTTGGAAAGGGTGGGGAAAAAAGCATGTTTAACATTGTCCCTGATGAAAGCATTTAAGGCAAGCATCCATCAGTTAAGTACTTACTCCTCTTTCCCCATAAAATGTGACACTTTACATATAGTGACTAACTTGTGCACATTAAAGATGGCATGTTTATAAATAATAGAATTGTCAATAGATTTGTGCTGAAGTGGTGAGATGCCAAAGTATGGAGATTTGTAGAAGTCAATTCATTTTTATAACTGGCATTTAATCAACCCAGCTGTCAGTTTCGATGAGAAACGTATTCTCTGGAGCAAATAAGAGATGGAAATCTGGAGATGACAAATTAATGAAATAGCAGTTGTCAGGTTAAACTCAATAATATAAGGTAATCAGCCTTCATCTTTGTATTAAATTACTGCATTATCAAGGCAGGGAAGTTTGACAGCAAGTCAGAACTCTGACAAGTTTAAATTATTTTTAAATGAGATATACATCAGAATACATCACAGAAACCCTAAATTTCTACCTTCCTTTTCTTGGGCATGCAATTATTTGAAGAATTCTTTTACATGAAAGACTTGTTATTGCATAAGGCCTAAATATAAATATTTTAGCTACAAGACACAGCTCATATGTTAGGTTTGCTCAGATATGAATATAGGGGAATAGGGCTGAAAAACAGTGTGAAAAAATGGTAGCATGGGAGTTTGAGAAGTAGACAATTGAGAAAAACGTAAACTAAACTCTCTGTTGTTTGCATGTGGCTCTTAGAAACCTGCTGGCCAATCCTTTTAACTGTAACTGCTACCTGGCATGGTTGGGAGAGTGGCTTAGGAAGAAAAGAATTGTGACAGGAAATCCTCGATGTCAGAAACCTTACTTCCTTAAAGAAATCCCCATCCAGGATGTAGCCATTCAAGACTTCACTTGTGATGATGGTAAGAAAAATCCAATAATTATGGGCTCACCAGTCATTTCCATGACAATTCGGATGATGCTGTGCACAGATGAAAGCATATGCTGTTTAGTAATTCATTGGCTTATGTCATTGTCTTTGTGATGGTGGTGTTCTGTTGGTGTTTTTGTTTTTATCAACAAGGTCTTTACTTTCTTGGAATGCACTTTCACATTTGCTCCTACTTGATTCAGGTTTCTGAATGGTTTTGTTTTTCTGTTTCTAACCATCAGTTGATGCTGTTGGTATAGCTTCATTTACTACTGCACCTCTTTAAGTAACTGTTGTTGTTAAATGCTTTCAAGTTGCCCTTGACTCATGATGACACCATGCACAACAGAACAAAATGGTGCTTTGTCCTGTGACATCCCTGTAATTATTTAGGGATCAGGCTGTTGGGATCCTTGAGGTTTTTATTGGCTGATATTTAAAAGTAGTTATCCAGGCCTTTCTGCCTACTTTGTCTTGATCTGGAAGCACCACTGAAACCTGCTTGGCATTGTAGCAACAGGCAAGCCTCCCCTGACACAAGAGTGGTGGTTACACATAAGTACATTGGCCAAGAGTGGAACTCAGATCTCCAAAGAGAAAGTGAGAACTTAATCAGTATGGCCACAGCCCCCCTTCTAGAAAGAATCGTTTTCAAATGAGAAAAGCGGTTGAATTATAAAATCCTGTATGTCTGGTGATTTAAACAAAAGCAGTTTTCACTCTTCAATGTTCTCTATATGATACAGATATTTTAAATACCAGCTGGGTCACCCATGGTGGACAAGTCTCAGATGAGCTTCCAGACAAAGACAGACTAGGAAGAAGGAGTGACGAACTACTTTCAAATATTTACTCACTGAAAACCGTATCAATAGCAGAGAAACACTGTCAGATATAATGCCAGAAAATGAGCCCCTCAAGTTGGAAGGCACTCAAAATGCGACTGGGCAAGAGCTGCCTCCTCAAAGTAGAGTTGACCATGATTACGCAAATAGAGTAAAGCTGGTGGGAGTAAAGCCCATGGGACCTTCATTTTCTGATGGGGCACAACTCAAAATGAAGAGAAACAGCTATAAACATCCATTGAAAATCGGAACAGGGTATGTATGAAGTATGAATCTGGGAAAAATGGAAGTTGTCACTAATGAAATGAAATGCATAAACATTGCTATCTTAGGCATTAGTGAGCTAAAATGGACTGATATTTTGAATCTGACAACCACATGGTTTACTATGCCGGAATAACAAATTGAAAAGGAATGGTGTCACATTCATCATCAAAAGGAATATATCCAAATCAGTTATGAAGTACAGCGCTGTCTGTGATAGGATAATATCCATGCGCCTACAGGGAAGCCCAGTTAATCCCACTATTATTCAAATTTATGTACCAACCACTAAAGCCAGTGAGGATGAAATAGAAAAATTCTACCAACTTCTTCAATCTGAAATTGATCAAACATGCAGTCAAGATGTATTGAGCATTATTGGTGATTGGAATGCAAAGGTTGGAAACAAAGAGGAAGGATCAGTAGTTGGAAAATATGGCCTTGATGATATAGATTACATGATAGAATTTTGCAAAACCAATGATTTGTTCATTTCAAATACCTTCTTTAGTCAGCATAAGAGATGATTATACACATGGACCTCACCAGATGGAAAACACAGAAATCATATTGACTATATTTGTGGAAAGAAACAATGGAAAAGCTTTATATCATCAGTCAAAACAAGGCCCGGGCAGATGGGGGAACAGACCATCAACCTCTCATATGCAAATTCAAACTAAAGCTGAAGAAAATGAAAACAAGTCCAGGAGAGCCAAAATATGACCTTGAATATATCCTACCTGAATTTAGAGATCATCTGAAGAACACATTTGATACGTAAACACTAAAGACCAAAGACCAGAAGAGTTGTGGGATGACATCAAGAACATCCTACAAGAAGAAAGCAAAAAGTCCTTAAGAAGACAAGAAAGAAAGAAAAGGTCAAAATGGATGTCAGAAGAGATACTGAACTTGCTTTCCAGCGTAGAGATGTTAAAGCAAATGGAAGAAATGAGGAGGTACAAAGCTGAACAGAAAATTTCAAAGCTTAGCTTCAGAAGACAAAATCAAACATTACAACAAAATGTGCACGGATCTGGAATCAGAAAACCAGAAAGGAAAAATTTGCTCAGCATTTCTTAAGCTGGGGAAACTGAAGAAAAAATTCAAGCCTCGGCTTTCGTTATTGAAAGATTCTCTGGGCAAATTATTGAATGATGCAGGAAGCATCAAGAGAAGATGGAAGGAATACACAGAGTCACTGTACCAAAAGGAAATGGTTAATGTTCAACTATTTCAAGAGGTAGCATATGATCAAGAGCCAATGATACAGGGGTCAGGGTGAGCACGCCTGCGCATTGGCCGGTCTTTTCCCATGTTCACGTGTATGGAGGTGTTGGATTGCGGGTCTCTGCTTGCTGCGGCGGAGGGAGTGTGGAGTGCGAGTTAGGTGACCTGAGAATCCCAGCAGGGCAGGCATTTAGAAAGTTTCTTCCCCTCTTTGATTGAGTATCGATGGAAGGAGTGCCGCTGAAACTGTCATTAAAGGAGGCATAATGCTTCCAGAAAAGTCTCAAATAAAAGTAATGCAAACAACAGTAGTAACTGTTGGATGCGGATCTAAAGGAAAGGGTGGAGAGATTCAACCAGTTAGCGTGACAATGGAGATAAAGTTCTTGTTCCAGAATATGGAGGCACCAAAGAAGTTCTACATGACAAGGATTATTTCTTATTTAGTGATAGTGACATTCTTGGGAAGAATGTAGACTGAAAGACATCTCAATTGAAATGGCATCATGGGAAGCTGCCCATTCCAATGAAGTTGTGAAATTTTGCATCATGTAAATAATCTTCATGTCTCTCTTTCATAATGAACTTATGATATTCAGTGTCTCAAAAAAATAAATAAATAAAAAGAGGCAGTGATACTGAAGGAGGAAGTCCAAGATGCATTGAATTGATGGAATACAAATTGAAATCTTTCAAGATAGTGAGGCGGCACAAGAGGCACTCACTCATCTCTGCCAAGAAATTTGGAAGACAGTTATCTGGCCGACTGATTGGAAGAAATCCATATTTGTGCCCATTCCAAAGA